GAAGTAAGGCCAGGAGCCCCTGGTAGCGTCCTTGCTCCTAGTAGCGATGCCAGGAGCCCCTAGTAGCGTCCTTGCTCCTAGTAGTAAGGCCAGGAGCCCCTAGTAGCTTCTTGTTCCTAGTAGCGATGCCAGGAGCCCCTAGTAGCGCCTTGCTCCTAGTTGCAAGGCCAGGAGCCCCTAGTAGCTTCTTGTTCCTAGTAGTTTCCTGAGAATACCTTAATTTGTCCAGACTTTCCTGAGAATACCTGGCTCGCTCAGGCAATCCGCACACGATTGGCGGATCACGTGGATTGCTAGATGCACCTTTGACCCTTTCTTACAATCCAAATGTTTTTGTATTTGCTTTTGTGGGAAGCTTTTGTGATCTATTTTGCCGTTTGCTCTCAGACACCTGTGAGTGATAATCCTGATAGGTTTGTAGGGCTTTGAACTCTGACCGTGCCCTGCTCACAGTAGATCTAGCGGCTCCAGTTATCTTGCGCTTTGGATTCAGGAACTTTCTGGATCAGAGCACCGTGATACCGAACACAGGCGATGGAAGATCAAGTCTTGCAATGTGTTGAAGTCCTGTGAATTTCACACAGTGATGCTCAGTGCTGTCGAGGGCCGCTGGGTTGCTCGCAATACAGTCTACGGCCAGGCTCCGTTCTGCAATTTGGCCGAGATTGGAGTTAGCACGTGCAGACAGAGAGCAAAAACGTGCCATTCACATCAGATGGCACAAGCATGTAAGGGCGCGGAATCTCATTGAGAGCGGTAAACAGCGCCGCGCACCGCAAATGAGGTACATTCCACCAGGGCATTGGCATTCAGTTCTTCCAGTGATCTTTGGTCGCGCTGAAGCCAAGCTTTATTTGTGCATCCAATTGATTGAGCTCTCTGAGGAAGGGTGAGTGCGTGTCTGCAACTTGCTTGCAGGATATTGCTTGGATTTTCTTGCAGCACCGAGCTAGGCAGCTTCCGTAGAAGCCAACGACAGGTGAACCTGCGGGTGGCCAACATCCTTCACGCCAAGTGGATCAGCGAGGCTGGCTGCGAGTTACAAGATATTATGCAAAAAGTGCAGCAGGGAACATATTCAATTACATGAGATCGCATGTATAGCTTGCACTTAGTTTGTCAACCGGCAGAGGGGTCATGGGTCATAGCGAGGTTTTGTTTGCCACACTTGCAATGACGGCAAGAAGCCAGACTATGCAAATGATGGCCTCGAACACAGTTGACCAGACATATTCTTGTGAGATGGCAAGTGTTCACCCCAATTTCGCTGCTTCAGCTGCGCCTGGGCTATCAAGAGCATTTGTTTTGAAGGTTCGGCCTTGCGACTTCGACGGTGCTGGCGAGAGTATGACGCAGCAGGTCAATTAGACTTGTAGCACATGCGCATTATTGATCATTCTTATGCTTGACACTGTGACGCTATACCCTTTCCTATTTCCTCACATTCTTCACGTTCCTTTGTGCCACGACATTGCTAACGTCCAGGCGGACCTAGCTGTACAAGAACTGCATGCAGCTTTGCACCGATGCCGTCCGCCTCGCTGCGGGACCCATAGATTTGGAGGCTACAAGGCTTGTCAAATACCTTCCGGGATATTTGGAGGATTGTAGCGTCCAGAGAAACTTCTTGGTTGGCCTTCTTTTGCTGAGGCTTTCCTTTCCAGAATGCGTATTCTGATGGTTTGAGGCGCCATGTTCGATACGCCCTCTGGAATCAAGGTTTTGGGGGGTCGACGATTTGTCGGAGCCAGTGCCTCGCAACATGACATATTGATATTAGCTTCAAAGGCTGGGTGCTACGCTGGGCTACTTGGAAGCTGAAGGCTTTTTAACTGACTGGACTCCATCCAAGACATGTACTGCAAGGCCCTCAGAGGTGATTGATGCAATCAAGCCGTTTAAAGACTTGCAGCTTGTCACTGAGCTTAGGTTGGAGTAAATCCACTGCTGCCAGCGTCTCAAGTGCTCACGTCACCAGAGTCTCTTTTTTACTAGTAACTGGATGGAACTAGCGGCTAGCGTCAGTAGCACAATGTTTTGTGTTCCGACATTTGTCAATTTTTCTCATCCTATCTGAGACACAGGGTGGACAAGTTCTGAGGGAGCTCAAGTTTTGGATATTACATGATACTTACATGATATCACTAAATTACTGCCTTCCTCCTTCCCGGCCCAGATTCAAGCATTGAAGTCTCGCGGGTAGCGTACGCACGTGGATAGTAGGGCCTGGGCTAGGGGATCCACGCGACTGTGGTAGGCCCCAGGCTGGCCGGTAGGGTAGCCTAGCCCTATCCTGGGGTACGCGTAAGTTAGCCTAGCCTCAGGGTATATAGAATACACAGGCGAGCAGGTAGCACGAGGAGCTGTACTTGAGAAATGCTTTGTGGGAAGGACTCCGGGAAGGACTCTAGATGGAGTATGGCAGCGGCAGTTTATTTAGACCTGCTTTAAATGCTGGAAGCACCATCGCCAGGCCTACAGCATGCTTTCCGTAGGCCCCACACCAAACCTATCCCACTCGCCGACCTTCCCCGGCCCTACACGACCGCTATTTGCCCACCATTCCCAGTCCATATGCCGACCGTACTGGGCCTCACCCTTCATCTTGGCAAGCCAACCACAGGCTCTACTACGACGCTGTGCCTCCCTTCTTCGCCAACCCGCTGAACCGTCAACGCTTTTACAGGGTAATTTATTCCTTCCTTTCTGCCACTTGGTTTCACAGGTCGTTCTTTTCTTTCGTCTTACTGCAAGCATTGTGATGGGTACAATAGTGCTTGGCTGCTGTGGCAGCAGCCGCTGAACCACTCGGCAATGCATCAAATGTTCTATAAATGACATGACCAGCCTTCCTATAGGACATTTGCAGGACCGATTGCAAAGGCCCCCAAGTTCTGGCACTTTCTGCGATGACACTACAGGGATGGTAGGAATTTGGGGGACCGACCCTAGGTCCACTATGCCTATAGACATCAGACTCTGTGCGCTGTAACTTCGAGAAAGTTTGCAGCTTGACTAGACTCTAGACCTGCGCGTTTGCTTGGCTGACCTTAGCCTGGCCCTGGGCAAAGTCCCCCGAAGTCAGGCAGAGTTATATAGGTTGGCGAGGTTGGATTGTCCTTTATCGCCATTGAGTCCAGTACCGGAATATTACGTTTCTCCAATGCACTATATACTGTAAGTATAATATCCCCCTTGCACAGGTCCTTATGAAATGGGGATCCTTGTAACCTATAAAATTACGTTTTCAGGGGTCAATTCATAAAAAACACAATGTTGCCGGATATTGGAATTTCAAAAAAAAAAAAAGAGCCTATTGAACGCTGCCCGTCATTTCATAAAAAGGTCGGTTTGGCTCCTGTGAACATTTTATAAACAGTGAATTGCTTTTAACATAGAGACAGCTTGAACATGGTTGCTCATTCTATAAACAAGTAATGGTGTGAGAGAATAGAACCATGTTGCAGATGGATACCTGCTGATTCTGAGGCTCAGATCCTGTGCAAAGCGTGCCCTTGCTGCATCGCTTTTGCTGGTCTCACGATGCTCTGGCATTGATGTACAGAACCTGGAGAAGCTGTACAGGACAGAGTGCGTTGGGGACTTCTTTGATGAGCCAGACATGGTGGGCGAGGATTTGCTGGAGCATTCTCCCCTTGCGAAGGAGATGCAGGATGTCACTGAGGCCGACCACAACCAGCTGAAGCATGTTTTGGTCCACATTGAGCGCGCTGCAAAGGAGCAGATTGATCAGCACGAACGTGATCAAAAAGGAGACGCAGCAGAAGATCAGACAGAAGTGCCTACTGCCCAAGATCCAGATGCAGCACTGCCAGATGGACAGCAGCTTGTGGACCTTACCTCAAATCTGCCACAGAGGTCCGATGAAAGCCAGAACTATCCCAAGACATTGGCTGAGGCACGGTTCTAGCTGATTCTGTTGGCAAAGGGATGCAAAGGGTATGTCTTTTATAAAATCGTTTGGAACTGCACAGGGCTTCTCAGAAACCATCCCAACACATCCCAACACTAGCTGGTCGTTTTATAAATGTTTTCTATTGTCTTCATATGTTTTCAATTGTTTTTTGTCCTTTTCTTTACTTATTTTCATATATGTTCATATCATACTACTTCTGTTCCTTTTCTCCCAAGCTGCAAGTGCAGGTAGTGGCCCAGTGGCTCTTGACAATTGGTGGTCGGGGATTTGGCAGTTGGCCCTGCATCTGCGATGTGGCCCGTCCGGAATGGACAACCTCTACCTTCGTGGCGGAGAAGAAGTTCGATATCGAGCAAGGAACTTAAACTGGCACCAGACCTTTGGATTTTAAACAGGGTACAGTGTTTTGTTGTTGTTGTTGTTGCTACGTATTGTTTGATGATGTTTGATGTTGCTTGTATTTGTTGATTTTGTTTGTACTTTTCATTGCAGTATATATATATATAATGTGTTTAGTTGTTTTTGTATGTTTTTGTCTTGGACATGCTGCAGGAATTTGGAGCACCAATTGAACGAGATTCGGATGAATCAGGATGAGATGATGGCTGGACAGAGGGGCTCACGGATTTCAAAGTGGATTCAGCATTCCAGCACTATGCGGGATCGGGTTGGCTGGCAAGCTCCTGGGAAGATTCAGAGCCTTGTCCTTGTGATAGAAATGTTTTTTAAATATTGTTTGCTGTTTTTTAAAGGTATCTTGTTCGCCGAGCACACGGAGGGACCCGTCCGCGATACCGATAAAGGTATCTTGTTGAAGTTTAAGGAATAAGAATACTCATGTAGTTAAATAGTATAGCAATAAATAGAATATGGTGTTTATACAACGAGAAGCCATAACCCTCTAGAAGTATCTTCCACCAGTGTGTGAAACAATGTCATTTTATAAATAGCTGGCCTGCTAGATTTGAATAGATTTGACATTTATGAAATGGAACTGATTGTTTATAAAATAAACCTGTCTGTCACCTGGGTTACAGGATCGGGAAAGTTGTCATGCTCAACCTCGGGACGACTGTGCCTCCATGTCCACCATTTGCCCATACAGTTTGGCCCTGTGGCAAGAAGCCACGTCCAATCAGCCAAGAAAATCCGATTCAGTCCTTGAAGACTTTCAGGGCCACCATGCTTGTCCGTCACAAGAAATCCAAGGAGGATCTAGACGAAGAGTGTTATTGGGAGCCCTCGCCAAACACGTGGATGTATGGGCAGGAGCATCTTCTGGCTATCTTGGATGTGGACACCCAGCGCACTGTGGTGAATCGAGGCTACTTCTTTTTGACCCCAGCATCGGAGGAGATGATCCTGAAGGTGCAATCAGAGGAGCACCCGGCAGCGCCTCAGCGAGGCCTGACTGCGAGGAAAAGGGCGAAACCTCCGAAGTTGAAGCTTGGTCAGAAAGCGGCTTCGGCAAAGATTGCCCAGAAGGCCCAAGCAGCTCCAACGCCCAGTAGCATTCGGCGCTCAGTGGCTGGGAGGAGGATGGTTCGCTTCATGATGAAGAAAGCCCTGGAGGTGGACGCAGTCCGGTTTGCGGACAACCCTGTGTTCAACCCGAACACGGGGTCTTGCACGCTGAAGGGGTGTACTAGCTACAACTACAACCTCTTCATAGAGCAGGTTCCGCTGTACTTCCAGGCCCTCCACGTCAAGGTCCGCAACGCTGAGAAGTATGGACTGTTGGTCTACAAGACTATCACAGATCTGACCCAGCAGATGGAGAAGAACCCTTCGGAGCGTTCCTTGCTGCTCAACATCATCCAGGATGCCTTCAAGGCAAAGCTCAGCCAGCCGAAGGTCTAAGCTCTTGGGTGCTCCAGCGGCCAGCGGCTTTTTTAGCTCTTGCAGGCTGTTCAGGGTGAATCGCGCAAGTTTTTTGTTTACTTTTTTGGAGGGTGGTTCGGAACAGTCTTTGGATGTTTCTGGATTTTTTTTCCCTATGACAGGCTCCTATCTATGTGGTGAAGCTCCACCAGCAAAGCTCTTGGCATGATGCATCTTGAAAAGATGCCACCTGTTTCTCCGGAGTGAATTCCACCCGAGAATCACTCAAGCAATCGAAAGATCCAGCAGCAGAGGTCGCAAATTTACATAGAAAGATAGAATCACAGACTTGTCCGCACAGAGGACTTTTGAGTCTGTCGCAAGAGATCCTGGGAGGATGAAGCCGAACATGGTTGAGCATTCCATAAACATGGGCCATTTTCGGATCAAAATGATCACTGGCACATGGAAAGCCATTCCATAAAGAGACAAAAGGCGCCTCTGAAGTTTTATTTTTTTGCTCTCCGAACACAACTTATATAAAAAGGTCGGGTTCTCAGTTTATAAAGCAGCAGCCTGAGAGATTCCATTTTATAAGTGATTTTTTCTTATAAAATGAAATCCCTTACCCCAGAGACCTCCACAAGGGGGATAGTATAATCTATTTAGTATATTTTAGTATAGGTTCATGTGTGGGCGCCCTCGCACCCCAATCACAGCTCTCCCCTGCCAGTCCGACTGCCCACAACAAGCACCAGCAGGTTCTTGTCCATCCACCCTGCCATGGTCTCCCCTTACTGCTGCCACATACCTGCCACTGAGCCAAAATTTGTTGGTCCTTCTTCGTTGCAGACAAAAGTGATGAAGAAGACTGCTGGTCGTTCAGTTTGATGTTTCTTGATGGCCAGTGAGACCCTGTGTGCGACTGCACATTGGGAGGTCAATTCTTCCAAAGCGTAGAGATGCCAATGCTATGGCTCCTTGCCAACGATTTATGCAGGTAGGGCATATGGCGGCTTTCTTAAATAGTTATTCTGGTGCCCATGTAGCCCCCAGGAATAATTCTTCAGGTATGTTTTAATAAAGACGCTCACGGAATATCACAGAATAACTTTTGGGATCTTTCGAGGACCCCTGCAAACATATGGTCAAGGTAACCAGAACCTCTACTGCCTCAGAATAGTTATTTAAGGATGTGGGTGCTTCAAGATTTCGCAGCAGCCACACAGCATGCTTCCCAAACTGTTCCAATAGCCCAGGAGACTACCATGGAATGATCAATTGCAAATTCCTGACATGTCCATGACCTGGAATAGTAACCTATTCCAGGGTGACACCCACATGGTCCCTATGCAAGGCTTGAGGAGCCATACATTTGACATAACACGCCAACGGTGTCGGCAAGGTTTGAAAGTCTCCTCCCCGTGGCAACAGGGTTGTCGTAGGTGCAGATGGCACAAACAGGTGCACATCAAGAGTTTTTATCATATGATATGCTGCAAGACTCACCGTGGTTCAAGAACCCGTTTTCCGTTTTCGGTTTTCTGTGTTCAGCTGACAGCTTGCAGTCAACAACACCAAGAAGAAACTACAATTCCAACCAGAAGTCGGTGTGCTTTCAAAGCCAACCCAACCCGGCCCAACCCCCCGGCCAATTGTTTGAAATATTCCTTCGGTAGACCGATGTGTTTGTCACTAGCAGACTGAAACCTCGGCGTTTGGTCTTTTAGGGACTCCTGAATTCGGCAGGCAAACGGAAATGCTGGATAGTGTCTTTTCTCGATCTCAGGTGATTGACCTGCGCTCCATCTCTAGTTTGACTGGTTCAGAGTACATGAGGCAGGTTTTTGTTTAAACTGGTCTTTTGGTTTTGCCGCTTGCCATTGACACAGGTTTTCCCTGCATTGCGGTGCAGCCCTCTACGTCACTTGCATTTTATACCGCTCGCAAACTCACAAAGTCCACATGTTCATGGAGTGTATGTACTACTCAGATCCACTTGGCTGACACCGGTGACCAATTGTTTGTTTTCTTTATCTAAGGACGCAGTGCAGACACTTGCCCGCCACGGCAAGGCTTTGTATGCTGTATCCCCTCGTGTGATAAGGAATATCGTCCAAATCATATGTGCTTCTATGCTCCCTCCCTCCTGCATCGCCGCATTCCATTTGCCAGGCAACAGTAGATGAGCTAAGCCAACGTGGTACACTAGTTCACGGCTGCAAAGATCAGCGGGCCTGCCATGTTTCTGTTGATAGATATTCCAGCAAGGGTGGAGGCTCCACACACTTTGTCAGGTGGTACTTTTTTCACGGCTCAGTGGTGCATTATTGAAGTCCAACTAATGTCGACGCGCGCACTTTCTCAAAAGCAGCACGTAAGCACAATCAAGAACACGAAGAACTGTGATGCACCGTAGCGAGCAACAGCATTCGCCATGGATGCTGCTGGATGAGTGCTAGCCTAAGGGGCACACTTGCGGCAAAGCATCACCGCTCAACTGTTTCATTCGGGGGCCCATGAGAGTTTCATGAGATAGCCGGCTATCATGAGGGTTTCCGAGTTTCTGCTTTGACATATTGCCGGGTCTCATTTGCGTGTCGTTCCTTCTCTTTCATTTTGGCTAGAGCACCTGTGCGCGAGGGCGACTAGCCAATTTCAATGGACTCCCAAGCTCCCCTAGCCAATGCCGCAGTTCTTGCATTCATTGTGCTCTAGGATTAGGCATTCCCGCTGAAACAACAACAGATCAATTTCTCCACCAGCATAGACGCGCCAAGTGCGCTGGGGTTCGTAGGAAGGCCTTGCGCAGCCATGACAAGCCTTTTTGGCTTTGGTCGCGATGACCCCAGTGTGTACACAGCACAGTTCGATCGGGATCCGGTGGAGGCTGTCAAAGCGTTGAAGTCAGACTTTGTCGCTTGACGCAAATTGTAGGTATTGTCCTATTTGTGCTTCCTTGGCACAACGTCATACAAGGAAACTCCTTTCCTTTCTACAATACTTGATGCTTGATTCTAGTACATGTTCAATTTCACATTTGTGCAAAATGGAGAACTGGCTTTCATTGTGCCCTTTGAGAGCCTTTGATGTAAGGAATCTTTCTACGAAAGGATGCAGCTCCGCCTGGAAGGGCTTTCAGCTGCCATGGGTTGCGAGACAGGTTCTTCGACCATTGACTCCCACGGAAAAAGCCGTCCATCCAATGGCCCCCATGAGATGACACCCTGTGAACCACCAGCTTTGGTCTTTCATCGCCAAGAGATGAAACAGGAAGCTTCACAAGAAACAGGCCATGAGAAGAGGTATGTAGTCTCAACTGGTCTCAAGCTCGGATCGGCGGACATCAGATTGCACGGAAGGTGGATGGAGCTGTCTACGCACAAGCTGAACGGCTCAATAGATACAGTTACAAAAACCGCCACAAGGAAGCCAAAGCGTATCTCGAAAAGAGTTGAAAGCCAAGTATTTAGCACAGATGGGGCTCTTGCCAAATTTTGCCCTATCATTCAGCCTGCTGGTCGCTTCAGACTTCTTTGGGACGCCATTGGTTTGAGTTTGATCATGTTGGATGCCTTCGTTTTGCCCGTGACTTTAGCTTGGGACTTAGAAGAAGGTTGGCAGTCTGCAGGCAGCATTTTTCTCCTTTTCACTTTCGTGGCCAGTGTGGCTTTTTGGTCAACGGACCTAATCTTGAATCTCACGACAGCCTTCTACAAGAATGGCAAGCTGGTTACTGAGAGGAAGGAGATTGTTCTTCATTATGCAAAGACATGGCTGCTTTTTGACATCAGCTTGCTTACTTTAGACTTTGTAAATGCAACTACTGAAGTTGGAGAACTCGCAGCGCTGAGATATGCTAGAATGGTGCGAGCATTTCGCCTTCTGCGATTGCTAAAGATGTCAAAGTTGCAAGACATTTTGCAAGAGGTAGCAGCATCAAGCGGCCGGCAGGGAGTGATGCTCATCATTGCAATCGTGAACACCACCTTTATCATTCTGCTTTTTGCTCATGTACTGACATGTATTTGGTATGCCCTTGGGAAAGCCGCCGAAGAAAGCATGGGCATCGAGAGCTGGCTTACTCAACTTAATGCATATGGACCAGACTTCGAAGCCAAAGTGACCAATATGGGCTCCAATGTGGTGACGATGCAATACCTGACGTCCTTGCGATACATTATGAACGCCCCTTCTCCTCCCACGATCGCACCCGAAAGTTTGTGGGAAAGAGCTTTTGATATCTTCAACTATGTCTTTGTCTTGGTGGTCATCGGGACATCTGTTTCAGGCATCCTCAGTACCGTTGGAGAGCTCAAGGCTATGAATGAAGCAGCTGCCAGACAGCGCCGAGAGATTCGAATGTACTTGACAAGTCAGAGTGCCTCGCTTGAACTAGTGACTCGAATCATGAAATTTGTGGACTACAAATTGCAAAGAACATCGGCTATGACCTTTGATCAAACGTTAATTTCCAAGACACTGCAGACTGAGCTCTTTGTTGGGCAACGCAGCCGCTTTTTGGAGCGCTTGCCGATCTTCAAGCTGACATCCGACTTATTCTCTGATGTTTTTGCCGGCATTTGCGCTGCTTTGTCCAAGGGTGTCTATGAGCAGAAGGAGAGCGTGTTTGTGGCAGGTGCATGGTCCACTGCACTTTACGTAACAGCTGCCGGAAGCTTCACTCATTCTTTGGAGGGTGGCAGCCCAGAGCAAGTTGAAGGAGAATGGTGGTTCGGGGAACTAAGTCTATATTCAGAGGCGACCATTCACACTTCGAACTTGGTTGCCAAAACATTTGCTGAAGTCTATTCCCTTAATGGGAAGGACTTGGCAGATTGTGTCAGGGACTCTCCTGGATGCACATCAATGTTTTGTGAGTATGCCAAAGATTTCGTCAGCTCGACGCAAAAAATGGGACTTTCCATGTCGCTCGAGGAACTAGCTGAGCTTTCCGAGAAGTGCTGCAAGCAAAATCAATTCTACCAGGTCCTCTACCCTGACCCAAGCAAACTCTTTCACAATATCGCAGTGGGAAAAAATGTGCGAGAGAGTCTAGCCAGAGAAGCGTCGAGGAGTCGAAATCAAACCATCAGCATGGGTGTGAGTATGGAGAAGCTGGAGAGCGCAAAATCAGAGGTGTCGCAGCAGATTTTGCACCTTGACCAGCAAAGTACCAAGTCAGATGAAAGTGGAGATGTCGATCCTGGTTTGCCAGAGCTGCTCTCCCTTGTGGCCAGCAAGGGTTTGGAGTGCACTGAATCTTTGCCAAAGGAGTTGGAGAGAAGGGTGCCAGAGCTGCATAGTCGACATGGCACGCACATCGTGTTCGATCAAGCTGCAGAGCAAGATCGCGCAATGTCTGCATGCATCAGCATTCTGGCTCTTGTGCATAACAGGTATGACATGTTTACCCAGCCACAGGCGGCACCGGTGAAACTTCGTCCAGATCAATGGGAGGAACTTCAGAAAATGGTGCAAGTCATCTCACCAAGTCTGGAGCAGCTGCATGCCGTGGTCATCCTCTTGTCCATCCGCGGCCTTGGAAAGAACAAGACTGTTTTGAGTCAGGTGCCCAAAGACATGCAACGCCCAGAAAGAGCAGTGATACATCTAATGGATGATGCTCAGCATGTGGTGCCTTCAGTGGCTTGGTTGAGCGAAGCGGCCAAGAAGTACGTGCATGATGCACTCCATGTGCATGAAACCTTCAACCTTGCCCAAATGCTGCAGGGTGAGAATACTCCAGCCAATGTACGAGAGCTCTATCAGCTTGTGAATGAGCAAGGGCAAAGTAGCTTCAACTTCTACATGCTCTTCTTGCTGGGGTTCATGAGTGGCATAGCAGGTGGTGAGGGCTCACGATTTATGAATGCTAAGAATGCTGAAGGCTCAATTGCAGGCTTTTGTATGTTGCAGAAGTTGTTGACCAGCCAGCCTCAGGAGATCTACTGGGGCTATATGGTTGCTCGAGCCAAGGCTCTCTATATCCCTTTCGAAACACCAGAAGACTTGGTTCTCATCCGTTTGGCCTGTCTTTGCCGCTTGCAGGATGCAAAAGCTCATGAACTCTTGAAGGTGTCTTGGAATTCCTTGGGGCAATTCCAAAAGAAAGTGCTGACTGATCATTTCCTGGCAGACGGCATTGAAACTCAAGCCTTTGTGCTGGAGTTCTTGCCCATGTGCTTCGCAAATGCGAAGACAAATGGCCTTATAGGCTTGACGCTTTTGCTAGAGGTCTTGGTTGAGTTGCTGACAAACCTAAAGCAAGCGGTGCAAGGGCTAAAGGAAATGCAGATGATGCATGCTGTGGATCTCATGGACATGAGTGAATTCATCGCAGCAGTTCAGAATCGCTTTGTCTTCCAAACTTGTGTGTCTCGTTGCTCCTTCAAGTTTTCCGGCAGTCGAATTAGCGTTGAAATGACTGGAAAAAACTGGGGCCGGACTAACGACCCTGACAGCGATTTGACCAGCTTGGCCTACGAGGTGAAGTCCATACTTGCAAACCAGAAGAGAGATGAACAGTTCTAAGCGGTGGCATCCTCCAACGCTCCGAAGTCGGAGCGCCATGCTTCCTCGCAGAAATAAAACATCGAGGATGAGAATATCAATACCATGACGATGACTTGAGATGTTGTGAGAACACTGAGAACACCTGAGATGTGGAGAGTCTCACCCAATCCCGCACCCGCAGCACTTGGTCAATATCAACGCTATGTACTGTAGAGAATTCATCATCATGGAATCTTTGTGTGATCAAGTCTGACTAGTGCCGCACAAATGCCGCGGGGCTTCTCAAAAAGAGAACGATGCGCAGCCAACGCAGGTTTGAAGACCCTTTGCACAAGGCACAACGTGTCGCTTACGATCAAGTCAGGATGCGTTTAATCATAAGCACGACGTTTCTGTGCATGCATATCTCAGCTTCTTGCAAATGATTGTCTTTGCTTTAAGATGCGCCCGGCGGCTATGTCAGATGAGAAAAAGTATTTGTACCATGTTGTAGCTATATGCAATTGTTACTATGCAGTGAACATAGGCTTCTGCCTTCAAACCCTATATAAAGCAACTGCCGGGCAGCCGCCACTCGCAGTAGGGCACTGCTTGGAAGAAAGGATGCACTTTGCAGTGCCTGGTGTGGTGTAAACTTTCCGTGCTTGCATCAAGTGCTTCCGCTATGTCAACACTCCTATCCGGTTGGAATTGGGTGCTTGATGCTGGATAGCAA